GTATCACGCAATGTCTTATATGTATTCATTTGCTATTTTTAATTAATAAAGTTTAAAATAATTTTTTTTTAAAGAAGTGCAGTTCATAAATAATTCCTTCAAAGGTTAACCCTTCTTCTCTTCTGGAAGATAATAGTGTATCAAGGCCAAAAGATCCCACTAATGCCACTAACTAGAAAACCATCAAATAATACTTACTCCTCCATTGGCTCATTGTACATATTGCAACCAGTTGCAGTCTTGAGGTCCTCTATGTTTGTCCCTTCTTTCTTGTAAGGCACAAATTGAGCAAGGTGGTTCCCCAAAATGACTACTTTCCCCACCAGGACTGGGTCTATTCACCAGGCCTTATCTGGAGAAGAACACAGTGTGAGTATAATCCAGGATCTGCCTGCCACACTTCCCAAACAGGTATCACAATACACACTTCCTTGATAAGTTGGATTGCCTAGCACAACCCTTTCCTGTTTGGGGAAGGCACTGGGAAATACAGAAAATTTCTCAGTGGAGAACATCAAGGAGGAATGGCGCCACATCTCCATGGAGAAATGGGTGACATAGGAGGATGTCAAGTAAATCTCCCCCCAGTGGCTCAGGTGGCATGTACCTTTCTAGGAGGTGATTAAAATGGAACTCTTCCAGAGGACTTCCAAGTTAAAATGTGCTGCTATTTAGACAAATTAGCACTTCAGTTGCCATTATTTATGCATTTGCTAATCATTAGATTAGACTGCAAGGTGGGCTTTCTTGCTGCCCCCCTTCCCCTGGAGATTTGATTTACCCCAATATCAGGACTGGGGAAAGCAATCCAAATCTAGTCATTTCAACTGGCCTTTGAGGAGGAGATGAATAGAAATGAACTGAGAGGGATTCTTCCTGTGTAGGAAGAGATGATTATACAAGTGTTTATAATCATCAGCATAGGAAAATTTTGCTATTATTGTGTTAAATGTTTGGTTGTTAAGATTAGTTATCTAGTTCCATTTTATTTTTAGTTGTGTTTACCCTGCTTACATCAGATAGTAAGCGCTCTCTCTCTCTCTCTCTCTCTCTCTCTCTCTCTCTCTAATAATCCATCTTGTTCAGGAGTTCAAGGTGGCATACATAGTTCTCCCGTCTCCAATCTCTGCCCCCCAACAATAACCCTGTGAAGGAGGTTTGGCAGAGAGAGAATGACTGGCCCAATCGGCCAGGAAGGTTCCATGGCCATGGGTAGATTAGAATCTGGGCCTTGCTAGTCCTAATCCACCATCTTCATCACTAGCCCATTGTGGCTTTTGGACTGAGAGGGAGGGACTGACCCAAAGTCCTCCAGAGAACTTCTGTGGCTGAGGGACGATTAGCATCTCAGTCTCCCTGCTCCTAATTCAACACCTTAACCACTATCGCTATTATCTGATTATATTAACACTATTACTGGATGCTTTGTTGATTTTATGTTTGCATTAGACTTTACTGTATTTTGGGCATCCTGAATCAGTTCACTTTGGGCAGTATACAAGTGCAAGGACTAACTAACTAAATACACTTTTCCTGCATCACCCATCACTTCCCATCAGCTGAAAGGGAGGGAGGGTGGGTTCCATTTCACCAAATCCAGTTCTCAATCCCTGTTCTAAGGAGTTGAGAAGTACATAGCTAGCCTCACAACAATCCCCTGTGAAGTAGGTTATCCTGAAAGGGATGGTGACAGGCCCAAAATCACTGATAAAGGTTTCTGGCTAAACAGATGTTTGAACATGAGCTAACATTTTTATAGCACTCAAGACGAGCACCTAATGTAGAACCCCAGGATTGCACAACGTAATTCATCTATTATCATTACACAAATTATACTGTTGGATTGCTAGAAGACTTCTCCATCCTCTTCAATAGCGAACGTACCAAAAATTGTCTATTGAAATAAATGGCCAATCAGTCTAGGCCAAGGTTGTCACAAGTGTACAACTGGAGTTGGGCAACTCATAAATTCAAATAAATAAATAAATACATAAATCAATAAGTAAATAAAGCAGCTATTTATAGGTTAGCCACTGGATCCCTAAATATGTCTTTATATAAGTATAAACACAGGCCTTCAAATATCATATACTCCAATTTAATTTTTATTGCATCATTAAAATATTTTTTTAATAAAATTAAAATCTCCCACAACCTGTCATTCCAAAAAACTGCTTGAAGGACAGCAGGCATCTGATAGAGCACAAGTTGACCCAAAGGTCAATGGGCTTTTCTCCGTTCTGTTTTCATGGCATACAGGACATTTTGCAATTATCTCATCTAGTAAGATCTTCCAAGATACTGTTCAGTGCCATTGAATCTATTTTCAGTGATGGATTTCAGCTTTGTTGCCTCCATAGACATGAACTTTCATTGTTTCAGCTATAAAGTTAATCGCTCAATGCCAGGATTGTATGATATGTGGTCCTGCAGCAACTTGGCCAACATGGACACAGGAAGGGATGTTGACTGCAAAATCTGTGAGCTGCAGTTTAAACAATCTGGAGTTACCAGATCAGGGAAAAGTAAAGGTTGCTCAACATTATCTCACTCTAGACCAGTGTTTCTCAGCCTTGGCAGCTTGAAGTCCACACATCTTCAAGTTGCCAAGGTTGAGAAACACTGCTCTAGACCATCTAAATGATCTTCACATTTGCCTCAATGGGTCGAGATCCTTCACCTGTTTCAAACTTCTGAGTCCTAAAGGACACTTTCTGTGCTGAGTCAAGGGCTACCACATGCTACTTTTTCCCAAAAGGAACCAGTGGTCCTGAACAGGGCCACTGAGAGGAAGGAGAAAGGAAGTGACTTCTAAATCCTTTCCAGGGATCCCACTAAAGATAGTTATTTCTCTGTTCCCATTAGTAGCAATGGCAGGAATATGTTTCATAGTGTCCATCCGATGACTGATTGAATACCAGGAAAGGTGGGATAGACATGGGACCCACCAATTCCCTACAGAGGCCTTTCATTTTTCAAAGAAAAGTTTCTCTTTCTTTCAAAATGACTGCCCTTCCTGCTTTACTCTCTCCTGGGCTACATTTTTTAAATATAGCAATCCCCTTGGGGATGAAGCCTATCTGGGAACTGAGCCTTAGACCAGAGGTGTGCAATTTCTTCTGGTCTACAGGCTGTAGATGACATTTGAGAGGCATGCAATGACTAAATCCTAAACAGCAGTGAAGTGATTAGGACAACACTACATTTGATCTGACGTCATTTATCTTCAGAGTTAGTTAAAATTAACAATAGCTAACCGTACTCCTCTCCAGTCATGTATTTAATAATGTTTTCCTTCTTCTACAAGGTAAACATAAAATACCAAAAATGCAGTTTGGTAACAAGATGTAGAAGCCTTCTGAACACTCAGGTTCAGCATATCTGTGCCAAGAGTAATAGCTGTAACTCAAGGTTTGCCAACTTTGGATCTCTAGATTTTTAAAATATTTTAACTGTTTTATTAATGCTATAAACCACTCTGCCTGACCAAAGGCTAGAAATAATGGGAGTTGCCAATCAACAACATGGAGTCCAAGGCTGGGAATCACTACTCAACACTCATTTATAATAATAATCCCTAAACTTTAGTTAGAAGGACCTGAGACAGAAACAGTGGATTCAACAACCAGCTTCTTTGCCCCACTGAATATTCTAGCTTTTTAGAGGTTTATATTAAACACCAACAAGACAAACTAAATCTTAAGAACCGCTGTGCTTGCTCTAAATCCAAGTAAACAATACATCAAAATTCATCCTGGATTGCACAATTTAAATATAACAGCTTTTTTAAAAAAATACATCAAAACAAAAGTATCTTTCCATTTTTTCCATGTGCTTTTAACCTGTCTATGTAGTTATAAAAGTATTTTATAGATGCACAATCAACATATTAGATTAAGACCTGCACTGAGGATGAGAAGACAAAGAGTCCAAGAAGATGGAGTTTTAAAAGGAAATCAAAACTGAGCATCAGCAGAAATCAGTGGGAGATTCAAATCACACAATATTGTTAAATGATGGCTTGAAGGAAGGCTATTGCCAGCAATAGTCTCCTTCTGAGCACAACCACACTGGCATCCTGCAGTTATAGGCCGTTTACAGGAAATTTATCAGCAGCAACTGTGGAGTAAAAAGGAGAAGGCAAGAGGAAGGGGCAAGGGGAAGAAGAACGAGAAGGGGAAGGGGAAGGGGAAGGGGAAGGGGAAGGGGAAGGGGAAGGG